AAAACTGAGCCGGTTGGGTTATTATCTTCTGAGGCAATTTCCGAGACAACGAAATTCCGTGCCAAATTTGAGGGATTTGGGTGCTAAGTTTGGGACGCAAAATTCTGGACATATGTTTTTGGACGCAAAACACGGATCGTATATTCCGTGCCAATACGTTTGGATCGACCCAAGTGGCATAGATGTTTTTTCAGAGCCAAAACCTAGCCAAGAGCGATAGTCTAGGACTTTCATGAGGTTATCTGAGCCAAAATCCCTACCTATACCGAGGTTTTTTAGTAGTGGATAATCGATAACCAAATTTTTAGGAAAGTAAGCATTATTTCTTTTTTATACTCCTAGTCCTAAATAAACTCCACATTTTATTTGGGTAGTAGGGTAGATTCAAAATGAACTTCACAATTTTGTTTTTGGCAAATCTTAATATTAAAATACTCTTATATTCTTACTTTATTATATACTGTACACCCATTTTCTCTTTACTACTTCACTTCATCTACAAAAGTAGATGTATGATGGGAAAGTCGGAGTCTCTCTCCCATGTAAGTGCCGGACGAGCCCTGCTGATGCATCCCACCTGTAGCCGGCGGGAGAGCGCCACTGCAATCCTTGGCACCAGCTACTCAAGCGACTCCCCACCTTAAAAAAGCTTGAATAAAACTTCCCAATTTCGTTTCCACATCGTCGAGCTTCTCTCTCCTGATAGGAAGGTTTTTACAAGCTAACCTTGTACCGAGCTTGAAACTCCGAATGGTAGAAGAATACTCTATAGCAGAAGATCGAACGAATTTGGCAGAACATCAGAGGAGTGCGCAGATCAAGAAGGAGTAGGGTTTGTGCGCATAAAAGAAGATGAAGATGATGGATATTTTATTCGGGCCATATATCAGATCCGTCTGAGGGTTTTTATTACATTTGTTTAATTAAAACAAAACGAGGCAAAAAAAAAGTAAAGCATGTGCAAACTTAAAACGCATATACATTTTTAGGACGATTTTAAAAATGACGTTGAATTTAACAATTGAAAAACGCATGCATTCGCTTACCACGACTGTTGTTTAGCAACCCGTCCTTAAAAGAATAAAATAAAAATATTAAAAAATATACGACGTCGGTTTTTGTAGAAACTGACGTCAAATAGATTTATCATGACGGATTTTCAAGAACCAACGTTAAACGGGTGACGTGGTATGTCATTCTTGTAGTAGTGGTCGGAAATAAATGTAGAAAGAGTATTTATTTGGAATAGATATAGTCAATATGCATTAGAATATCATTTCATAAGAACCAAAGAACAGCTCAAGTATCAATTAAAAAGTGGAGTACAATTATCTAAAGTTTCAATATAAAAATAGTCAAGTGCCAATATAATATTTCTCCACTTGCACCTAATAGCGTGACAGGTTTGCACCTATCACATTTAGCGGGTATCATCCGCCACCCATGCCTCTCTATCCATGTTCTTGGCCCGAATGCCTCCATTTAGAGTTTATTTGGTAACACTGAAATGTGTTGAATCGGTTGATCTTGCTGAAATTTATGAAATTCTGGTTTAAGTGGCTGTATTGATTGATTTATTTATGAAAAAATAAACATAAAATTAAATATAGTTTATTAAGAAAATAAAGAAAAAAATTATACTCCCTCCGTCCCAAATTGTTTTGCAAAGTCAACATTTTTTGGTCAACCAATAAAAAAAGTCAATTATATATTCAGAAACTACATTAAAATCTCTTCAAAGTTGTAAACTCCAAATTTGAATATAATTAAAAATTGACATCCTAATTAAGCAAATAAAATGAGACTGTTTGACCAAGAAAAGTCAAATTTGCAAATCAATTTAGGACGGAGGTAGTATGTAAAAATAGCTAAAATGATCCTCTACAGTAACTTTAGCCGTAAGACCCAGAAAAGTAACTTCAACCTTACTTTTTCTTATTAATACACATTTCAGCGCACGAAATCAAAAGTGAGATGTTTGATGAAAAAGTTGACTATAAATCTATTAAGCCGAATAACAGTGTTACCAAAGGGGCTCTTAATTTATACGTAGTAATTTTTAATTAAAATGTTAATCCTGCATGGTATGGCAGTACGTAATTACGTAATATTACTCGAGACTTAACTTTTTTTATGATACTCAAGACTTAACTTAGTATAAGAAAAATAGCATGTTGTAATTCACATTGAAGATATAAACTTAACATACTCTCAATCATACGTATAGTATAACATATATTTCATATCCTAAAATGAAATACGCAATAATGTTTATAAGACAGATGGAAACGACAGTCATCAGGCCAACCATGCATATAGATAAGCTGAATATGTTTTAAACTTTTAACGATATATAGGTAAACATTACTTATTAACTTATAGATAAACTAAATGGATAATCAATTACTACCTCAGTCCCTCTAACTTTATCCCGTTTTACTTTTTTCGTCCGTCCCATTAAATTTGTCCCATACCATATTTGGTAATATTTGAGTAGTTAGAATTCATTCTTACATTATTCATACTTTATCAATTCAACGCCAACCACAGGGAAAGTTCCCGAAATAGGACTAAAACAGTTTTAAAATTTCAAAATAGGACTGCTATATTTTTTATTCTCAAAATAAGACTAATTACTGTCATGTTTAGAAAATACTGCCATGTTTGAAGTTTGGTACTGCCAAAAATGGCAGTAATTAGTCCTATTTTGAGAATAAAAACATGACAGTCCTATTTTAGAATTTTCAAACTTTTTAGTCCTATTTCGGATAATATCTCTATTATAATTCATGATCTAAGCACTGTCCTCAAGGCCGGTCCAATGCTTTTCACGATCTAGGGAGACATTTTACTATACAGTTTACCGAACTTGGAAAATCTCACATGCATAAGTACGTTATACAGTATTAAAACATAATAATGTGTTTCCTTGAATAATTAATATGACCATCAACATCACAGTTATTTCTAGACCTTTTTGTAACAATCTCTTTAATGACTTTCTTTTATATACTTCGTATGATCGAATAAATAACATCCTACATCTTTGGGCTACAATTATAGTACTAATTAGTTATGTTTTAATATTATTATATGATCAATAATTCCTTGCAATGATTTTTTTTTTGCTTAAATTCCTTACAATGATTGATTAGTGGTAAAGTTAAGTCTTCACAATTTACATATATAGAAGCTTTCTATTGAATCGTATAGTGAAAAAGAATATGACAGGATTTAAGTTATAAACGGAATAAATTATACAGTATATAATTACTATACTCTCTCCGTTCCATTAGATTGTCACCTTTCCAAAAAATTGCGGTTTTCCTTTTTCTAAGCAATGAGTTTGTGGTTCTATTCATTTTGAGAGATACAAATTAAACACATCAAAACTGCTAATGGTTGTCCAGAGGAAATTGTGTTCTATGTTTTCCCGATAATAATATAAAAAGCGGCTACGCAACTTTATATTTTAAAAAAGCAAATAACATCATTGTATGCAACTTTCATATTTTATACTCTTGTCCTCTCTTATGATTTTGTTATCTTTTCTTTTTTGGTTCTTCCAATTTTTTGTCATTTTCTATTTTAATCAATTAGTTTTTGATTCCTATTACTTTTATCTTCTCTATATAAATCTTAACCGGTTATACGATATTTACTTTATTTTATTTTGTTCAATTAATTTGTGGTTCCTATTGTTATATGTTGTCTTACGTAAACGGATAAACATAAACCTTAAGCATAGCATCACTACAACAAAACAAGACTCATCATCAGCGTCCATGTTGATACGAAAAATATAAAAAATTCTTTAAAAATTGCTAAAGAACCAAAAACATTTGTGTGTAGTGGTGACGTGTTCACCCCAAAACTTCATCCTAAAGTGCTCATTATATTAGCGTCACCAAAAATGAAATACGTAGTATATACAAAAATTTCCATAAAATTGCCCCAAATTTGAAAATATTTCCCATGGCTTTCAAACTTGAATACTTTGATCATCATTGATTAAGAAAGTCAATATGATGAAATTGTTTGCAACAACAACATTGCCCGAGACTACAGTGGCGCAAAGGCTCTCACCAATGTTGAGGTAAAGGGGCGGATGCATGTACACAACTTTATGCAACATGTACTAAAATATGGAGAAACTGCTTCTTGATGACCATAATGAAATTCACGTAAGAAATCAATGCATTGACTGATTGATGATTCATAACAATTTAGCGCAGACAATTTTGTGCATAATTTTGCTTTATTTCATAATATTACCGAAGGGGTTTTCCTCTACCTATTTGAAATGAAGTTGTATAGTGACCGGAATGTAACTAACGTATATTAGCCACAAGGGATACAACGATATCTTAGCTGTATGTGATTCCCAGACTAAAGTCGACCAACTTTATCATTGTCTGATTAAACCATACTTTTAGTCACACCATAGTTGTTCAGATTATAAGCAGATCCAATAAAATGATCAGTTCTGCCAAACAGGGCCTTAGTAATCTCTCAACAAGAAAAGATTGCTGGTCATGATTTGGCCTGCCGTTTATTCATCAGCAAGGAAAACGAGAAAGCTTGAGTAAGTGAAGTGGTATTGTTTCTTATACTTTTATAGTACATTTTATACGGCGTTTAGTATTTATAATTTAATAATTAACTCCTCTACCTCCCATATATAGTACTCCCTCTGTCCCTAATCTTTCTCCCTTTTCGGCTGGGCACATTTATTAATATAGTGTGATTTGTGTGGTGGAGAGTTGTGCAGAGAAGAGAGAAATGCGTAAGAATGTGTAAGAATGGTTGTGAACCACAAATTTTTTGCTAAAAGGGGGAAGAGGAGATAATTTTGGGACGGACGAAAAAGGAAAGTTTGAAGATAATTTAGGGACGGAGGGAGTAAAATATTAAAAAGTCTTGGCCACTTTTCCCTTCTTATATACATGCATATATATATGAGGTATTCTTCCAGAAACCTTAATAAATGTTAAAAACAGGAACAAGATTGTGTCTGAGGAGAGCTTGAAGTACAATTTTGGTCCTTAAAATTGAAGAGTATATCTCGGATCGGAGTCAGTTTGGCAAATGGCATTTCTTGAGCTGTTTGTGGTAGCACTAATGCCTGTTCTCAAAACACTCATCATCACCGCCATTGGCCTCTTTCTCGCTCTCGAGCGCGTCGATATCTTGGGAGCTTCTGCCAGACACAATTTGAACAACGTAATATATATACATATGTATATGTACATCGAGTTCGGTTCTAGTGAAAAAATTGTGTCCGCGAGAAATGAGTGGTGCAACTCGGTTCATATCTTTGTTCATGGGGACGCACACTCATGTTTCAGGCTATGGACATATATATATGTGACTAAAAAGATCAGTTTACTTATGAAAGCTAAGTTTGTCCTCGACGACGAGGATGACTCTTTGTCGTGTATTTTATCTGAATTGGCCTCAATAACAAAACACGATGACTCGTTGTCGTCGTGTTTTTCGATTCAGGCCAATTTGGGCTAATAATGCACATTTCTGTTTGAGATAATGAGCAATTCTCATTACATCACATATATATCTATTACGTAGTACTCCCTCCGTCCCATAATTAACTTCGGTTTTGACTAGGCACGGGGATTAAGATAGTGGGATTTGTGTGGTGGAGAGTTGTGCAGAGGAGAAAGAAATGTGTAAGAATGATTGTGAACCACATATTCTTTATCAAAAAAGGAAAGAGGAGATAAATTTGGGACGGACCGAAAAGGAAAGAATGAAGATAATTTCGGGACGGAGTGAGTATTACAATATAATGGTAGAGGTAGACATACTTTATTGTTTATTGTTTTATAGTTTTCCGACGTAGGACAAATACTTTAACATAGATGTACTGATCTAGTTCTGTGTTTGGTTGAATGTAGCTTGTGTTCTACGTTTTCTCTCCCGCGCTTGTCGCTAGCAGCCTGGCGGAGACCTTAACAGCATCCAGCATTGTTACCTTGTGTGTTATGTTCCTACTTTGATTTCTGATCAATCATCTTAGTTTTAATTTCCATATTTTCTGCTAGCTAATTTAATTAATTAATCTCTTTGTTTTTTTTTTTGCCCCTAAATGTTCATGCAGATGGTTCATGTCTGTAAACATACTCCTGACGTTTATGATCGGATCGGCTCTGGGTTGGGTCCTTGTTAAGGTCACAGGAACTTCTCAAGAAATTCATGGTCTTGTCATTAGTTGTTGTGCTGCAGGTATAACACATACAGGACAGGTGCAGATACTTTTGTTATCATATTTTCATTATTTTAATATTATTACCCATCTAGGATCAAAACGTGTATTTTGGTTAAAATAGGACTATAACTAAATGGGAAAAGTACCAAACCTACCTACCTCAAACTAACATCAATATTGCAAATCACCCGTTAAATTAAATTATAAGAACGTGCAACTAGGACCTCCAAATCGGCGATATAGTGTAAATCACTCCTTAAATTAAGAACGAAAATTGTAACCAAATTCTCCAACTAGGCGATATAATGCAAATGTCTTTTCTAAGCAGTAATTTAACGTTAAAGCTGATGTAAAGGGTCAAATAGACTCTTCTACTGTTTTCACTTTTCAATTCATCACTTAATTAATCTCTTCTACAAAAAACGTACTACGTACTACCTCCGTCCCATAAAACTTGGTCAACTTTTCTTTTTTGGCCATCTCAAAAAACTTTGCCATTTTCATTTAAAGTAACAAATATGTGGGTCAAGTTATTTCTCTTTCTTCTGCACAAATATCAATCACACAGTTTTTACTTTATTAATCTACACGCAAGTCAACATTGGCCAAGTTTTATGGGATGGAGGGAGTATTATATAAGTACACTTAGTATAACCAATCAAACCATTTTGAGTTGCTGCAACAGATTATTTTCTAAAAAATAAATTAGGGATATTGATAATATCTTATAAAAATCCATATAAATTTTAAAAATAATGGTATAATAATATAAAAATAGTATAAATGTAAAAATAGGTAAAAATAGTTTTTTAATACGGAGTATAAAAAACTTGCCATTACAGTTCAAAAACTGATTCAATGACCAAATTTATCAATTTTTTAAAGTAAACAAATTTATATGATGTTTTTTTTAAAATTGACTGGTACAATTACAAAAATATTTAAACAACAATAGAAAAGGATTACATAAATCTCCTAGAATGTTTTACTTGGTCTGTTTTCACTCCCTAACCAGACTTAAACAGACCAGATCAGACTTTCATAGTTATAAAATTCATAGAGATCAGACATTTACATGAACAGTTCGGACCAGACCAGCAAATTTCAGTCTAATTATAAACATCTCTAGTCTTTGAAACTCTTGCTTTCTTGATTGGTAGTCATTTCCTTCATGAAGTGGCAGAACGGTACTACGTACGTTTAGTTCTTGAGTTCGCCAGTGAGTCTTCAGTCATTCGTGGAAACACACGAGCATCTCATGATATTGCATGTCCAACCTCGTTTTATAAGCAGTCAATAAAAGGTTTAAGTAAAATATATTGAGGTGGATAAATGAAACTTAAGTGGCATAATTTTTTAATAAAATGGTGCACATCAGATTTAAATGATAAATTACCGCTCATGAAAGTCATTTGCACTATATCGCCGAGTTGGAGAATTTGTTGCGGATTTCTTTTTAATTTACGATGTGATTTGCATTATATCGCCGAGTTGGAGGTCTTGGTTGCACTTTTTTATAATTTATGGGGTGATTTTGCACTATTGATGTTAGGCGTATGTGTTTCATTTTTTAACAAAGTAGGACATGCGTTTAAACTCCATTATCACATAAGGGGTCTAGCACCTAACGCCGTTAGTGATCCCCAGAGGAAGACGATAAATAATAACTCTAATTTTCAAAAGCGCCCGAAAAATCCAAAGAAAAATACCGAGAGGTGTGCCTCATCAGGGCAACCTCCAGATAATTCCTTTTTTTCAATCACCCTTCCTCGCGAGAAAGTCCACCGAAAAAGTGATGTCATAGAATTTATTTTTAAATAATAATAATATGAATAGAGCCTGAAAAATCCAAAGAGGAAGATGATTTGGAAATGTCCTCGACGAGGTGCACCTCTCTGTATTTTTCTTATATTTTTTCGGATATTTTAAAAATTGGAGTTACTATTCATCGTCTTACTAACGACGTTAGACGTCAGACATCACCTGGTGTGATGACGGAATTTAAACATATTTCCTACTTTGTTAAAACATAGACTCCCGTCTCAAAATGGGCAAACCACGTTTACCTTTTTTGTATTTTCTCTTTGATACTTCTCCCTTATCTTTTGCTATATAAATACACAATCGATTCTATTCCTATTTATCTTCATTCTCTCCTCTTTTTCTTTATCTATTTATAAAGTATCTCACTTTTGGTGTAGGAAAAAATGTATCCCCGCTTCATACAGTTACGCTTTTCTGAAAATAAATTTCAATCACCTCATTACTTTAGTGAGAATCGTATTCACACTAAAATGTTGGGATAACTTTTGCTATGAGGTAGCATTCGTTTTCATACTCTGTAATATGAGAGACGTATTCTTAGAGCTTAGAGCACAAGAAAATGAAATGATGGACTATATAATATATTAATATGAAATAATCCAATATTTCAAACTCATAACTATAAGTCTATAATGTAATACGAAGTATATTTCATGATTTATAGTTTAGTACTCCCACATCCCCATTTAGGGTTCATATGCATTGTCGAATTAATCAATTTAACAATCTTTTGAACATTTTTGTTGGAGTTATCAAATCCTACATCTCCTTTCCTTAATATTGTGTAGAATTTGGTTGTGTATAGGGAATTTGGGGAACATGCTTCTTATCATAATTCCAGCAGTTTGTGAGGAGAAAAACAGTCCATTTGGAGATCCTTCAACCTGCTCTACTAATGGAAAAGCCTATGCTTCCCTTTCCATGGCGGTAATGCTCAATGAATAATAAAATCAAAAGTTTTACTTGAGGAAGCTCTTCAGCCTAACTGGTCGCCGATTCACTCTCCCTGGATGAGTGAGTTTCGGCCCTGATGACTCCAAATCCCCCAAACCCCCTCCCCCAGACACCCTCTGGAGTAAAAAAAATCAAAAGTTTTACTATGTACTTCGTATACAGTTTCGTATACAGTTAGTGATGTAATCAAACTACAGAAAATTGTAAGCTTTTATGGCTGATGATGATGATTGTAGATTGGAGCTGTTTACATATGGACATATATATTTAACATAATTCGGGTTTTCGGTAAACCGCGGAGAGATTCTAGTGCAGACATATCGGGTTCCGGTTTCTTGGATAACTGCAAAGAAGTTTTGCTTTCAAGTCATAGCTTAAAATGTGATCAAGATCAAGAAGATCAACAAATATGCGATGATAAAGAGGTCAATTAAGATTCATTTCCTTATAACAATATAGGTCCTTTCATTCATTTCGTTAGATACTCCTTTTGCTCCATAATAAGAGTACATATTAACCATTCAATCAATTAACTTGCATGTACCATGTGATTTTATGTATCAAATTTCTGTCATGCATATCTTGATTTGGTTTTAGCGCTTTAGTAGATACTTAGAATTGTTTCCAAATACTCTGTGTGTAAGTTGAAATTACTAATACTTACTATATATTTAAATAATATAAGTTGACTTATTATAAGTTAAATATCATAAATCAAAACAGAGACCTTAATATGGAATGGTAGGATCATTTGATTTATAAATACTGACCCATGATCTTCTTTAGTCTTCTCAGCAGCAAAAATCCATAGTGACGAGGATTAAATGGAACATGAACTTATGGGCAGAGAGGTATAACCTAAAAATGATGTTTGCACCCTCCACCATTGCAACAGTATGATTTACATTCTTTTCATACTTATGATATACATTATATGAATACATGGACTAACCTAATGATCTGAACCATCATTGAATTTAATGTTTCAGATCGTCGGAATTACAATCGGAGTAGTATCTGTGTTACGAAAGTTGATAATCCTAAAAAATGCTCCACTTCATGTTATTGATAGCTCCGCGTCTCTGATAGGGTACGAATCTTAGCTTCTATTAAGACTTGAGATTTCATCCCGTATAAACTGTTAGAGATATACCAAAAGGTCTATGTTAGTCGCGTTTATATTTACCCACTGTGTGAAAACAAATTGAACATATTGCAGGGGTGCTTCAATACCAGCTATGACACTTATAGTTGGAGCAAATCTTCTTAGAGGTTTACCTTTTCTTCCACTCTTATAACTAGTGAGACATGGCCAGAATTTTGTATTGATTTTGTGTGTGTGTGTGTGTGTTTTGTAGGGCTAAAAAAACAATCAGTTGGGGTGTGGGTTCTAATAGGGGTGCAAGTGATTAGGTTTATCATGCTACCTCTTTGTGGCATTGCCATCATCAAAGGAGCTCGCCATTTTGGTTTGATAGGGTCAGATTCTTTATACCATTTTGTTCTCCTTCTCCAATATGCACTTCCTTCTGCTATGGGTATAGGTAAATGACACTTCTATTCAATATTGCATAGCACTGAGTCCTTTTATTTAATACTTCCTCGGTTCCAATTTGTAAGACATGTTTCCTATTCAGGTCAACACAAATCACTCTTAATCTTTACTTTATATATCATTTTTTTTATCAAATTTGATTATATTTTTTGTGACTTTGTAAAGCTTTTAATGTAGTTTCTGAACATGTAATTTTTTCTCTAAAAATAATTTGAGTGCAGACAGGGATCTGTTTGCTTTATCGTCAGTCAAACATCGTAAACCGGAAAGTGTTTTACAAATTGGGACAGATTTAGAATTGAAATTAAATATGAAATGTGTTTGTTGAATTGGCAGGAACCATCACTCAGTTGTTTGAGGCCGGGGAGAGTGAATGTTCTGTGATAATGCTATGGAACTATACAGTGGCTTCCTTTGCTCTTACTCTATGGATTGCATATTACATGTGGATTTTGTCTTGAACTATTATAATTTAATTATTTATTTATTCATGGAGAGTTGCCTCAACTAGTAGTATTTGTTTTGAGCATTCTCAAGTTTTTCGTGATTGTGTTTTGGAGTAAAATTGGAAAAATATTCTTATTTTCTTTTAGTGTGCGATTTTTTCTTCTCTCCCATTATCTTAAACTGTTTATCAAACCTATTTGAAAGTTTTAATAGGAACAAAGGTAGTAATAATTATCATTTTTCATTAGGGATATTAGTGTGATTAATATATACATTCTTTATTTTCTAGATAAAATTTAACCTCTCAATTTCTACTTATATTTATCTTAGAGTCGTATGTAGTCCTTAGAGTGCATGTAGTGATATAAATGAAGCGAGAGATTTTGGATCAAATGAGAATAACTTTTGTGCATTCTATTTGAGATATGATGACTCTCAAAAAGAAAATAATGCAGAAGATTAAATTAAAAATGCGATGACAAATTTTTTAAATAAGTGATCATTTTTGCCACGTACAGCAAAAGAGTGCACTAGTCGAATCTAAAGGTGCAGTAGGTATAGCAAACTAAGAATGAAAATCTTTCTTTTTATGTTAAACACCCTTTTTATTTAAATCATGCCCTATTTGAGACGCATTTAAAAAGTACAAAAAACAATGAAAAATAATCGTCAAAAATGCATTTATAATAGTCATTGTAAAAAATGCATTGTGAAATTTCCTCCCAATGTACCGCCCAGTCGGGGTTGAGGACCTTCAGGGATGTGATGTCATCCTTTTTTTACATTGATTTGAATGATATGACCATGAAGTACAAGGGATGTGAAACCAGGCTCTCCATTCTCTCTAAAATGTCTGGATGTAAATTACAAGCTTAGCCAAACTTAGTGATTCACTCTATTTGTCAAGAATACATACGCATATGCGATTGATATCCCAGGTCACTAAAGAAGATATTGAGTCGGCAGTTAGGAAAGTGGCACGCTACTTTCCTATTATTAATAAAATAAATACATAAGGGCTAAATAAATATTAGGCCCAATAACTAAATTAAATATACAAATACAAGGATAAATAATGCAATTGGACACAATAAAGTACTCCAATCACATTGAATAGACATCGTAATAGGCATCATAGTATAAAATTATACTTTGGAAGAATGTTCATTTGGTGATTTCGTATGTTTTTACTTGGACTGTAATTTGCTGGTTTGGTCTGGTCTGGTCTGAACTGGTCTGATCTGGTTTCTTTATATTTTATAACTATCCAAGTCTGGTCTGGTCTGGGACGAATTACAGTCCAAGTAAAAACACCCTTCATTTGGTGCAATTGGACTAACTTTAATCGTCTTCATTAGAAAAGAAAAGAAAAGTTGTGTATGGAAGAATGCTCATTTCGTGATTTTATATCATATTTTAATTTTGTACAATAATTACGTATATTCAAAATACTCATGAAAGGAATGGTTTTCAAAAATAAATACTGCTTGTTTGGTAACACTAGATTTGGTTGAATTGGAAGAAATTGATGAAATACTTACTAAAGTGGCTTAAGTTGTCAAATATTTGTGAAAAAAATAAAATATAATTTCTAGAAAATGAAGAAGAAATTATATAAAAAAAATCTAAAATAGTCATCTTTTGCAAAGTTAGTCTAGTCAATAAGAAAAACAACTTCATCCTTACATATTTTGACTAATGGTATTATATTACTCCCTCCGTCCCGTTGGAATGTTCCCGCTTTCCTTTTTTGGATGTCCCGTTGGAAAGTTCTCATTTCTCTAAATGGAAAGTTATCCTACATCAAAACAGGGTCAAACAGTGCAAAATAGTGTCAAACCGCGTCAAACAGTGTCGAAACAGTGTCAGAACAGTAAGATTTACCACCTGGTAAATTTATTTCCTTAATATGTGTGTAGGTCAAACCGGGAATATTCCAACGGGACGGAGGGAGTAAGAAATTGTCCTAAATAGGACTTAAACATGGTTAAAATTCCTAAATAGGACCTTAGGTTTATTTTTCCCTAAATAGGACAACTGATTACGAGGCAATTGACTAGTTTATTAACAAAACATAGATTAATTCTGCTTAAATTTATGATGTTTTGGTTGAAGTGACTATTTTGGCCGATTCTGCTAATTTAAGAAAAAAAATAGCTAAAATTGTCATCCACTTGAACTTCAACCTTAGCTTTTCTTAATATTACACAATTCATCGCACAAAATCAAAAGTTACGTGTTTGGTTAAAAAATTGGCTGATAAGCCAAAAAACAATGTCACCAAACGAGCTCTAGTATTTGTTCTAACAAGGCTTGTGTTTATTTGATTTATTCTAGGGAAAACTGTCAAATAAGTCCATCTACTTTTACTAAAAAGTCAATTGAATCCACAAACTATATGATGAATCAATCAAGTCCTCATATTATCGAAAAATCATCAAATTGACTATTTAACCGGTAAGCATTCAGTTTTTCGGTTATATTGCCCAGCTGGCTTATGTTTACTACATACTCCCTCCGTCCTTAAAAGGATTGCCAAGTTTGACTGACACGTAGAATAATAAAGTAAAAACTGTGTGATAGAGATTTGTGCAGATGAGAGAGAAATAACAGGAACCACAGATTGATTGATTAAAATGGAAAGTGGCAAAGTTTTTGGGACAACCAAAAAAGGAAAGTTGACAAAGTTATAAGAGACGGAGGGAGTAGTATTTAAAAAAAGGAAAATGGAAACTAATAATCCAACCTTTTAGCGGTCTTCTTACAATAGTCCCACATTTTCGTTATTCAGGAATAATCCAAATTTTGCGCCACATCTTCATTCGCCGGTCTCTGACTGATTGATGACCTGTTATTCCAGGTTATTTTCTTATCTTTGAAATATATTATACCATAAATCTCACCTTATGGTCACATAATGTTTTGCAAAGATAAGAAAATAACTTGGAATAACAGGTCATCAGCCGATCAGGGACCCTTGAATGAAGATGGAGTGCAATGGTTGGATTAGTCCTGAATAATGAAAAAGTGGGACTATTGTAAGAAAACCGCTAAAAGGTTGGATTATTAGTTTCCATTTTCCCAAAAATAACCTTTTCTTTCTCTTTTCTTATTTATTTTCTACTACTCCTATGTACGTAGTACTCCCTCCAGTCCTAAATAAACTTAACACTTTGACTTCACACAAATTAAGGAAATAAATTTGACTTTACTATAGAGTACACTGTTGTGACACTGTTTGTGACACTGTTCCCAAGCATATTTACTTTTAGTAAATTATGTAATAGACCTTGAAGGAAGATTTATGAATTTGCGTAATTGTAAATTTTTATTGTTTCTTTTACGTGAATAGTAAATTACATGTGGGGCCCACACCGGGAACGGGGACCGCCCGATAATTTCAGAACCCCATATTATATTCATCTTGGTCTAGATAATATGTATATGGTGGTGGATAGTGTAGTTGGGCCATAAAAATGGCATGGCGTTGACCTGTTGGTCAAACGAGACCCAATTAGCGGTATTGGTAATTTATCGGATGACAGCCCGAAATGAATTTCGGAGACTCCCAAGTTAATGTTGGGGGATGTACATCTATTCTAAAGGCCTATAACTATTAGGAACGTGTGATATATTTTATCTGGCCCGATAAAATTAAATATAACTTAAACAGTCCGAGAAATACAACTTTCGGGGCCGATTACACACACCGGAACATAATGGGATGACCTCCCACATGAGTGGGGGCCACCCCACGTTTTTATGTATTACAAATGACTAAGTAAGAGCTGGGGGATAAGCCTAAATGGATTGTGCGGACAAGGAGAAGGGAGGGGGCTTCCTAGAGACAAAACTTACATGTACATGACCCCATCCTTTAAACTTATTTGTGGGAGTGATTGAATGGAGATGCCTTCCTATCCATTGCACCACTCGAATGAACCACAAGAGACAGTTATTGAGATAGATCTTCACAAGCATCAGCCCTGGAGAAAGAAAGAAGATAGGAAAATTCGCAAGGAGTAGTTGGGTTCAAGGTAAGAACTTCACTATTATTCTTTTAACTAGTTTTATGGTGTATGTTTTGTAAGAAATTATATGATGGATTAAACCATGAGTTCTACACATTTAAAAGTGTAGAATATTGTTATAAAGTGGTGTTAATTAACTTAGAAGAGTTGGTGAATCAATAGGAGTCGAAATCGCCGGAAACCACCACATATAGGAAGTTGTTCGTAGTTGCAGACTACGAACGTCGCCCGGATTTCGTGAAAGCCGCCCGGCTTTTGCCCAGCAGTCCAAATTTTCACTTTCGAACGGCCTAGAACGAGGATGGGTCGAAGGGCTTTGCAAAGGCAACTAGTCAAGCACTCTATAAGGTGATGATGGCTGACTACATTGCTTATAATTATGAGTTAATTTCATGAGATTATCTAAGGTAATTAAATGTGTTTTTATGGATTATTAATGATTAATAATGCCTAAGAATGAGAAGACTAATATCTATAAAGAAAAGGAGCGTGGTATACAAATTTAAGAGTAAATTGTGTATGCTCATGTGTTATGAGTATGTTGACTTGGAAGTGGAATTAATTATGAAACATATGTTGAAATATACTTTTTACTTCATATTAGAATATATGAGTGATTAAAAGTGATATTTTGAATATTGAGATAAAGGATATTATCAATGGAAAAATCAGTTGGAATTGTCTATATGACTATGAGTTGAGAACTTGGTTTGTTAGAATTAATTTGACTAGTATTAAGATACTAGTTGGACATTAAAAATGAAATGTTGTTAAGATTGATCCTAAGGTTGGATTGTGAAATGTTATGTCTTAAGTAGTCTTAAGAGATGCTTTAAGGTAGGAAAGTATGAACTTTAAGTTATACTAGGGGTAGGCCTTAAGGGATTCCCAAGATAAAGTAAATAATAAATTTATCCTAGATATAGGATTGGCCTACGGGTGTGTTCGGTAGTCCTTGAGGATAGCCGGTTGAATTATGGAAATAAGTAAGGACCATGGCCCTTCCCGACTCTAGAGAGCGGGGTTGGATAGCATGGACTTGCATCGTGATCACGGGTTAGGGTGGAATCCGAATCGGAGACCTAACTAGGCTCCGGTAGCGGTAACACATAAGATAGGACCCCGAAGGGCCTTACCTTCCTACGGGATGATGAGTATGAGTACAGGGGCGAGATGATGAAATCCGAACCGAGAGCCTCATGAGGCCTCCGA